GATTTTGATATCATCATTTAGTGGCCAGCTGGTGAGGCTTGAACGGCTATCTATATCAGAGAACATATTGACAAGCTTGCCTGAAACTATCGGCAGCTTGCGTAATGTAAGTAAATTCATCTACTGGATAATGAACAAATGCCACTGGCATCATGCCTTATGGTTTATTGTTGGAATGTTTCATGAAGTTAAGTGTATGGATAATGAACATGGGATGTTGCTAAGGAAAGATCTATGCAAATTGTGATTTATCGAGATATTGTGCAAAAGATATTACCCTTGGATATCATCTTTTCAAGAGGTGAAACTTCTCTAGAAGGTATCAGCACCTCTGTTCTTGGTAGAGTTGAAAGTTGAATCCATTTGGTGAAGGACAGTTGAGTTGAAATCTACTTCACCTTGATATCATCATATGAAGCCTTCAAGAATCAAAACCTTAGGGCATTTTTAAATATATTTTTGCATTTCAAACTTGCTGTTGCACCATCTACTTGATTATGTAGTCATTCTCCTGAATTCTAGCATTTGGCCTCCAGACATAGGAACATCATGTACGGATTCATTCTTGTGGTTGCATTGAATGCATACCTTTTTAGTTAAACCTCTTAGTTGGGATCCTACCTGGAGAGTTGTCGGACCCTTACATTTTGCTGGAACTATGGCAATTGGCTCACCCCTGTTGCAGTAGTTAATGAATCAAACTTAACAGTGCCCAGAGGAAGTAGCCATGTTGGTAGTTCTTGCCTCACATTTTGTTCACCCAAAAGGAGGAGCAGCACCTGGGAATTGACTGAAAATTTTCTCTCGAATGCTGCAATTTTTTTTATGAACTTTTATGAGAAATATGATACCTGTAGTGTATCTTATTACTTTCCAGAGAATAACTTGTTTGTTTGATTATGCAGTTATTGCTTTTAAATGTGTCAAAGAACAAGTTAAAGTCTCTTCCAGAATCTATTGGGAGTTGCTTCTCTTTAGAAGAATTACAAGCTAATGGTATGTTTTAACAGATGTCAAAGTATTTTACTATTGATATCAGCTCCTTCATAACCTTCGCTACAATTAAGAGCCAGTAGCTGGTTCCATAGATTGGGAAGATATCTTAGGTGTAGTCTTTTTAAAAATTTTCCAGGGCAAAACTTCTTGATTTGAGTGTTTGAGAAAAGTGATTTTACAAATGTCACATTCCTTTTTGAGAAGAATCTTAAATGTAATGTTGTTACATTTTCCAGGGCAAAACGTAATGATAAACTTTCAGTTTATTTCAAAAAATGTTGTTACTGAAAGTTTATCTTTGTATGCTAGTCAATATAGATAGTTTCTTATGATTTCCAACTGTTTTTCTCAGTATTTTTAGAGCCATGGGCCATTTTCTAGTTGGTAGGAAGTACTTCTCTAATTTGTTTCTGCATATTCTCTGTTAGGATGTAAATCTGTGGTTGAGAATTAAGATTGCTGCTATCAAATAGTGGGATAAGTTTCTTCTTTGCATTCTTTCTATAATTTTAATTAGCCTGATAATGCTTCAAAAACATTTAGCTTTCTGTTCCGTTTATATCGGGTCTTGGTAGTGGGTTGATTCTTAGCGGCTTCCTGCTGGCAATTGATCAATGCTCTATGTTTGTAAATTTAGTTTTGTTTTAGCATTCAGCTATTTTTGGATTCATGATTTTGATTATACGAGCAGTAGACTTTGTTAAGATCTTCAACCATATATTGCACCACTCTCTGCGTCTCACGAGATATGGGACCTTCTAATTGAAGGCTTATACCTCTTGGCCCTATGAAATTTATTTTGTTGTTATTCTGTGTTGCTAAAAGTTATTTTCTTTTTTCTACTGTGAGATGGTGACAAATGGGGTTATTTTTACTGTTAGCTAATTTAAGGATACCATGTAAGTTTGCAGATAATATTGTTGAAGACCTTCCTGCATCAGTTTGCAATCTCATCCACTTAAAAGTCTCTTTGCCTAGACAATAATCACATAAGCCAGGTAGTACTAAAGGTCACACATTAACATCTAAACTGCTTTGATTACATACTGATGATAGATTCAGTTGGTTCTTTTTTGTTAATCGAATTGCATTACAATATCATGGGCTCAAACAGCTTTTCTGTTTTATAATCACCTGACCTTGTTGTTGTT